GGAAGGACCTCCATGTTAGGTTTTAGGGGTTTAGGGTTCAGGGTTGAGCGCTTGAGGCCTTGTGCTCCCGAAACCTTCATTGTTAGGGTCTGGGGCGCGGCCTAAAAACCCTGAAGCCCTCAACCTTCAGTTTGATTGATCCCAACCCGAAACCCCAAACCCTTACTCCTGGCGCCCAAAGCTTGAACCCCTTGTTTAGGCCCCTCAACCTTGAGCCCTGAACCCGAAAATCCCCGAGCCCCTGAAGCCCTGAGTCTGAAACCGAAACCTTAAAGCCTTGCCCAAACATCCACGGGTCCCTGAGATACCCTACGAGTAAGGCGCCGCAGTACCCATATCATGGGAACCCCTAGAAGAAGGGACCCTTTTTTAAGAGAGCTGAGCATAGTATGGGCTTCGCTACATGGCCTGCGCCGACGGCAGCGGGTCGGCACCTCTGTCCACGGGAGCTGTCAGGTAGCATAGAAATCGGAAGTGGCAAAGCGATGCACTTGGAGTATTGTTTGGCCATTTTGGTTTTGGGCTGGTTTAATCTTTGGGCGTTCATGGCGGGGGATCACCGAAAGTCATCGGCCCCTCTCGGTTCCATACTATCATCGAGACCCAAGAAGGGCGGCATCTTGGATCAGCTCCCAAAGTGGTTCCTCCTTTTGGGGCTTGGTGGGTTGTGGGAGCCTCCATTCGGGCTATGCATGTAGGGTCTATAGTGTTTCGGTATATTCTGGGGCCCGGGCACGGAGCTTAGATCGATTTTAGGGCCCTGGTGCTCAGGGTGCATGAGTAAGATATTGGCTGTTTGGAGCTTTTCCATACCCTATGATAGCACCTGTGTTCGCACTCCCACTCCCGGCAAAGAACAAAGAACGCAGTCCCAACAAGGCCCCGCATATGCCCTGCATTGCGGAGCCTTGACCCCTCTACCCTAAGGGCCCTTAAGGCTTTCAATGAGTTTAGGAATATTAGGCCCTAGATAGCACCCTATAACGTGAGAAGCCCTAAACCCACATCCTTTCTGACAATCTGCAGGAGCCCACCCTACTATGGAAGCCGAATGCGACGTGGGGGCCAGAGATTTCAAGATTTAATTGCTGTGTTTTTGGGGAGGGTTTAGGGTTTAGGGTGTATGGTTTGCGGGGAGTTGAGGTATTCTAAGGTTGAGGGCTCCAGAAGCCCCTAGCCCCCCCACATGGTCAGTTCTCTATCCTGACCCTTGCTTCCTGTCAGTGATCGTAGCCATGTAGAACCCTACACTGTCAATCAAGATCCCCGAACCCTGAAACCCATGCCTGACCCTCTAACCCCACGCAGAAAACCTTCAGTTACGACCCGCCATGGCCTAGTTCATTGTTGACAGTTTTGGGAAGCACCTATGTATGTTAGGCAACAGTCGGTCTCGAAGTGTAGGGGAGGTAAGTTCAACACTCATGAGGGGGGCTTCTGCGTGCTAGTGGTACCTCAAGAAGCTGCAGCCTTTGGCTAGATAAGGCGTCACGTCCTTCCTCCCTTTCCCCTGGACATTTCGACATGCGACGCTGCCTTCTGGCGTTGTTTGCTATGATGGCCTCGGCTGGCGCTGGCCTGGCATATCTCGCAAACAGGCGTCGGGCCGGGAAAGGGTGGTGGCTGCTGTTGCTTGTTGCTGGTTGCTTGTTGCTTGTTCCTGTTGCTTGTTGCTGTTGCTTGTTGATTTTGCTAAATAGCTCGAAGGCCTCGTGATAGTGAGTCCGCGACTGTTCTTACGATTGCAGGCTGTAAGGTGGATTGTTGCTAGTCAAAGCATCAGCTCAGCAGGTACACAGAAACTCAGTATCATTTCGGTAAGGTTGAGCATCAGGGCTGCAGGGTTGAATGTATTGGGGTGTAAGGAGTCAGGCTGAGCCGTGGGGCTTTTTGTGCGGGCGGGTTGGTTGGTGCCCCTGAAGTGGAGGCAGATTTCCCAGTATCCTTCCCGCAGAGGTTTATCGGCGCAGACTCGTACATGAAGCAGGCAGGATCCCAGGGCTGTCCAACGGCGACGTCCAAACTGCACTTATCGATAGCTGACTTCGAAGAGTACTTTACACGTCAGGCGTTCTGCCGGCAAGGCGGCGTGGATAGCTGCACCGAGATATAACTTCATTCGTCACCAAAGCCAAAACACAGGTCCCCTGTACTTTTCGAAAAGAGTTGACATCTTCCACTTGGCGTTTGGGTTGCCGGTCTCACGCGCAAGTGCTTGTGTGCATTCAGTGCCTTTCTGGGAGGCACGGCGGCTCACCCACAAGGAGCGCGTGCAGCTTCGCCAGGACAGGAAACGGCAGAAGTACGAGTTCACCGACACCGGCACGATGCAAGACCCCCGGCGCATCATGGAGAAGTTGCAGTACATCTCCAAGGGCCATTCTGGGGCGGCGGAGCACGCGGTCGCAGAGTACCTGGAACCTTGGATCCTCCATTCCATGACCATGACTTGAAACCCTTGCAGGTCTTAATCTGGCTTTGCAGTTGATAGCCGACTTCTTGGCACGTAGCGGTTGGAAAGGGGGGAAGGAGAGTTCCAGAATTTCCAGAAGCCTCTAGTCTAGTCAAAAGAAAGCATACTAAATTAACACCCAATCCGAACCTAGTGCGCGCCGTACTCCAACCTCATGATCCTGTCCACGGACCCTAAGCCCTAAACCTAGTATAGCATTCAAAAGCATACTAGACATGGGGAATCCCGCACTCCAAGTCCGGACCCATCATTGCCCCATCTCGAAGCCTCAGCTCTTCGTGGCAGAACAACTAGCTGCTAGCAGACCTTGCGTGTAGAGTTTCAGCATGTACCTTAAAGTTTCGCGTGCCAACAAACAGCTTCAGAAGCCACCTCAACCTCTAACCCCTAGACCCTAAACGCTAAAGCCTAAACCCTAAACCCCCCCCAACGTCATCTCCAGGAAGCAGGAGGGCGTTCACCGAACTCTGCCTGCGAGCTGGGGCTCAGAGGCTGCGCGCGGAACGGGGACCCTTTTCGGTTTCAGGTTGGGGGGGGTTATCTAAGGGCTTAGTGTGGCAGGGGAGGGGGGGGGGGATGTAGGGTTGAGGGTTTAGGTTTGGGGTTTAGGGTTTAGGGTTTAGGGTGGTGTTCCAGCGTACGTTTAGGCTTCAAAAGGGGTCTCAGGGCCTAGATGTAAGGGCCTTGGAGTTTCTCAGGACACGGATGGGATCGACATCATCCTGGACATGGCTGCTGAGACAGGACTCTCGGGTCCGTTTAGAGTAATACTCAACCCCTGAATCCGAAAGTTAAATTAAACCACGGCAAGATACAGTCTGAGCTACCTTGGCCTTGAACCCAATGGTGACCTCGTGCGCCTTACCCGAAACCCTTTGAGCTCTCCGTGAAAACATCGAGCCTCATTCCTTCAGACCTCAACCCGAATGCTTGAGCCATCGCCCGTGAACCCGGAGGTCCAGCTTCATCCGAAACATGAAAGCTAACAATACCGTGCAGCCCCCAAATCCTTGAATGCTTTGTTCGTGGAATTCGAGGAGGCGATCTCATATGCTCCCAGATTTAGTCCCCCAGTTAACTTTCTTTAGGGCCCCTTGCCTTGTGTCGAAAGTTGCTGTAGGGGCCCCCCAAAGAAGAACAGCCCCATGCATTTACCAAATTATCTTTACCCTATGGCCCTGCGGCTCTGAGTTTTGTGCCCAAACGCGCAAGCCCATTTGCAGGAGTTTGAGCCTGAGGGTCTGACCACTTGCCCAAAATACGGCCCGAACAAGGCCGAGCTCAAGGTCATTTAGGCCTTATATCGGATGGGTAGCCCTCAACCCTGAACTTCCATGCCATATTAGGATCCCGCACAAGTGTGGCCCTGAACCCTACGTAAACCAGGAAAATTGTCTGTCCGCTCCGAGGTCTGGATCGAACTCGGCTCGTCGACTCACTCCTGTCAGACTTCGCAAGGGTCGGCAGGGCGGAGGTTGCCAAGATCTACTACCAAGGCCTCGTGTCCTTGCTTTGGGGGTTCGATTTCATGCGGCTTCAAGGTTTGAGGCTTTGACCCCCTTGCTTGGGAAACTCCCAGATGACTTGACATTGACTTGCGGTAAAGTACGCCACTCTTTGCTATTCCGAACACCTCTGCTGTTACACCCTACACCTGACATCCTTGCAAACCCGCAACCACGAGCTTAACACAAGCCGGGGACTAATGCGATTTCCGTATGGGCTGACCTGAAGCCCCAAGCGCAAGCCGTCAAAACCCTAAACTAATGCAAAGCCCTTGAGGCATGTCTCCGAGCCCTCGGCGCATGGGGTATCTCCTACAGTCAGCCATCAAGAGCAAGGACTTCTCACTGCAGTAGATCCACCCATGGGCTCAAGTTTTGCAAGGAGTCCTGCTGAGAGGGTTCGCAGCCGTCTCCATGGAGCAACCTACGTTCTGCTTCGGGTGGTTCGTTCAAACATGCTGAAACCCAAACACCCAAACTGTTTGTTAAAGATCCTCAACCCAAGCCAGAACCTTGATCTAGATTCCGTGAACCTCATCATGGCACCGACCTTGTTTGCCCTCATTGTTCTCATGCATGTTATGAAGCGTCTGAGATTGGCTTCATGACAAGCCGTACAGAAACCTGAAAGCATCGTCAATGACAGGATGTTCCCGGAGCATTGGCCTGGATGAAGGAGATTGACAAGGAGGGTTCTTCACATGCCACCCACGTTATCCCTGAACCTTGCGGCCCAACATCTTCAAGGCTAGACCTCTCAAGAAAGCCATGGGGGGGTCCAGCACAATTTGTGTGCAATCACTTCTCGGAAATCGGGTACCTACCAGGGTAAGCCTGGAAGGCCTGAAAAGAAGTTCAGAGTTCTTGTGTTTGCGCAGCTTGCGGGATGTTTCTGTTTTCAGCCATCATGCAAAGGAAGAGCGAGAGCTCCGAAGTCGTGCTACGTTTTGGGTAGGGTTCTCACCTCTAGAGCCGGCCTCATCCGTGAACCTTGCCCTAAACTCTTTGAACGGTGCCCCTTCATGGAGGCAGGGTTCACCATCGACAAGACCCTCTTCAACGCATTCTTCCGCCTTTGCGCCTCGAAGCTTGAGAGAGGGAGCGCATGGGGTTCAAGTTTAGGGGTGTTACTCCTGATGCCTAAAACCGAAACCGTGGATCTTAACACGCCTTGTGTAGGGCTGTAAGGTGTTCAGTCGTTCATGCGATGTTCAGGCTTGCGTGCTGCTGGAATTTAACCACAAGCCCAAGACTTGTTTTTTTTTTTTTCTCTCTCTCTCTCTCTCTTTCTCATATATATATATATGTACATATATACATATACATATTAAACACTATATACTGTAGACATCAAACGATTTCGTCTATATTGCATCGTATGTATTCTACGCTTTGCGTTGCAGAGGCATGTAGATATGATATGTGTATGTGTTTGCTTTTTATTATTCCCGACCCCATGCACGCAAGCACTCAAACCTCCTTATTTGACAACTCGCTGCTGTAGCAAACCTAGCCGGTTTTTAGGGTTGGGGTTCAGGTTGTACCTCTATCCAGCCCAATGCTGCAATGTAACTGCCCAAAGTATTTCCAGCTGCGTGCATATTCCGCTCTTGCTAAACCCGGGCTCCGCAATTTCGCGGACAGCTCTTCTCCACTACGTAAAGGATCAGGGGACTTAGTAAGTGGGGTTATAAGTAAGGTAACTATAGCTATAATTTCTTATAAGCTTATAACCCTACTTACTAAGTGCCCCGATCCTCCAAGTACCCTACCCAGCACAGCCTTAGGCGACTAGCCTTCAACCCCCAACTTTCCCAAATCCTATCCTTAGCCTTATCCCTTTGCCCTGAATTTGTAACCCTGGCTTTCGCTTTAACTGTTGCAGCCTTCTTTCCTCATTCCCAACCCTGAAACCAAAACCTTCTTGAACCTGCAAATCCTTACAAACCCTTAAACAAAAAAGCCTATAAACCACATCAAACCACCAGCATAGCCGCCCTAAACCCTATAAACCCCTATAACCCCCCCCGTAAACCCCTATAACCTCCCTATAAACCGTTTTTATAAACCCCTTTAACGCCCCTATAAACCCCATATACCCACCACCAGCAAAGCCTTGAGGTGTTCGGAAGGAGGGCGTTGCCCGGGCTGAGCGCCGTTTGCAGCAACTCCTGGAGCTGAGGCTGGAAGCGAACACGAGAGAAGGAATGGGTTTAGTGGGGTTCTGGGGGTCTAGGGGTTTAGGGTTCTGGGGTTCTGGGGTTTAGGGTTCTAGGGTTTAGGGTTCTTTGGGTTTAGGGTTCTGGGAATGAGGGTTCTTCGGTTTTGGGGTTCAGGGTTTAGGGATTGTTTTCAAGTTTAGGCCTATCCCAGTCTGGTTTGAGAATAGCCTGTCTTGTGATGGGTGTGAGGGCTATCTGAAGCTTCTGCCTAGACACCTGTAGCTCAGCACCCACCTGGCTGCTCTACTGCTTGGAAGGCACGCCCCAGACAAGACAACTTTTGGCATCCTTTTGGATGCCCATGCGAAGAAGGCGCCAGAGACCTTGAATTTGCTGTCGCCTCCTTCCGGAAGGGCTGTCGTAGGCGTATATCTTAGTGAGAAAGGTAACCTAACACTCCGCCACTCAATGTGGCAACACACACGCAGTGTCGAGAGAAAAGCTGGAGGCATGTGAACATTGTCCAATTTATGTCCTTTTTGGGTAAACCCTAATGTACAGAACCTACCATGTAGCACAAGGTCTCAGTGATGTGGGCCTAGGCGGTCGATTCGTTTTTTTTTGACACGTCGACCACGAGACCTGCATTCTAAATTCACACAAGCGTGGCAATGGAAGCTTCTGAGAGTCAGAACCTAAAGTTTCCGTTCCCCTGTACATAAATCAAGTGTGTATTCTTGGGCGGGGTTGTAGGGTCTCACTTTTTCCTATATCCTCATATATGATTATGGTGATATGTCGATTCCTACATGTCGTAATGCCATAGCGACATACATCTCGGGATAAAATGCTAAAAATGCATCCCTGCAAGGACATATAGCCCTCCCTGGACCCTTCCATCCTCAACTCCATCCTATAAGCTCCCTCCAACCACCGCCTGAATCTTTCCCTCAACCCTTCCTCAATGCTCGGCTCAACCCTGCACTGAGCACTCACATCCGCAGACACAAAGACAAACTCCAGGACCATATTGTTTTGGGGTTCGGAGGTGTGCGTGATTAGGCGTGCTAAGGTTCTGGGAACTACATCTAGGCCAAAGAAATTTTTCCCGTTGCATTTGCGGTCCCAGCAGGGCAAAACCTACTCTAACTAGTTTTGGATTGCAAAGATCCCAAGTCTCTGTGCGTTTCATGTACCTCAGCGTAGCGTCCGCCTCCTCGCACCCACCCTTCCGCAGCTGTGTGAGGGCGACGTGACTGCCTGTCAGAAATGGCTGAAGCGAATGGAGGCCATTTTGTAGGGGTTTCAGTGGCCTGGCATTCTTAAAGTCCTAAAGTCCTGCAAGCTCGGCATGTTCATAAAGGGGGATTTTCAGGACTCGCAGTTGGTCTTCTAGAATGTAAGGCTTCCTCGAGACATCACGGAACCCCATGCCCTAGACTCGAAACATCCTGCATCTTCCCCACAAGTCCCAGGAGCGAAAGGACCATATACCCCTCAACCATAGACCCCAAAGTCTAAACCCTAAACCCTAACCCTAAAATACAAGCGGAGCGCTCTTGGGAACCAATCGCAGGAGATGCTTGATGTTGTTTTTGTTGCATATACACTGCAATCCTTAACCATAGTACATTTCCTTTTGAAGCAATGTGGGTCATGAGGGCGGAAGCCCTATGCCCACGCACAAGCTCTTCGGCCCTTGACTAACCCATACAAGAGTTAAACCCCTGCAACCCCAACGCCCTGTGACGTCGAGGTCAGTGGCGTGCAGCCTGGACCTATGCATTATGGCCAAATCCTGAAGGCCTTTTCGGGCCTTGTTTTCAGGACTCAGGCGTGTAGCAACTTGGGGTTTATGACAAGCGTTGATGTACTTGGAGAGCTTGCACAAGGACCGTTGCAGAAACTAAACAAAGCCAACGCTTCTGGCTGCCAAGGACAGTAACTTCACACTCCGAACCCCACACAAGTCTGAAAGCCACAGCCGTAGCCCCAAAACCTCCAAGCCCCAAAAGCGGTCATTCGTGATCCGAGCCACGGAGTGTCGAGGTACATGAAAGCTCAGCTGTTAAATATCAGCAGCAGTCGGAACTGTACAAATAGAACACTGAACGATTCAATTTGAATCCATGAGTCGAAAGAGTTGCTATCAGGCCCCTTGTATACGGGCTTGCATGTAGCTTCCTGACACGTAGCAAGCTTGCTTTTGTCGTCCTTTCAGTAAAGCGAGCAAGCAGTGTAGGATTCAATGGGCAGGCCTGTGCGAAAGCACCGCAGAAGCATGCCGGCGATGCCGAACGAGTGGCGCGGGCCATGCGGAGCCATCCTTTGCCCTTGGACCAGGCCCATCCTTTCAGTGGCCTCCTTGTTTAGGGTAGATGTTGAGCTTACGCCTTAGAAGGCACAGTATGATGAGGTTCTGAGGAAGGGAATTCGCCGACTTATGCTTACAAGTAATTAGAGTTCAGGATGACGCTTGGCTTTTGGGGCCGCCGACAGACCTGACAATGGTACCTATATGAAACATTATATGTATACATATATACATATATAAAGAAAATATATGTATATATATATATATAGATGAAATATTGTACATATATAATTATATAATATTGTAAATGTATATCAGGACGACGACTGCGTGTTCTGGTGTAGGTGGGCATAGGGTCAATGATGTCAATCGGGTAGCCTAACCTCTCATGATGTTGATTGTTTGTGATGGTTTCTTTTTGTGAGCAGCACAACTGCTATGAGTATATGCTATTCTTGTTTGTTATAAGTTATACCCCTTTTGGGTTACACCAACCTCTTACTGTATCTTGCATTTTGTTGTTCAAGGTGCACCGCCAGCACCTACTGCAAGCACTAGGCCCGGAACGCTTCAAGAAGGCCCGGGTGCCCTCTGCTAGTAACACACCTGAGCCACTGACTAGATGTTTCTGCTCATCATATTGTCGTGGTCATAAATGGTTTCCTTCGGCAGAAACAGGTTCCTTCAGTGGACAGAAAGACTTAGCTCGACATGGCTGCTTATGAATTGGGGTGGTAACATGGCTGCGCAAGAGGTTCTAAAAGGGGTCACTTGTCGGAGTCTACAAAGAACAATTTACCAGGTTCGCGTATTATTAATTGACATGTAGACTAGGTATCCTACACAAAACCATCATCATGATAGGAAGGTTGTTCATGAGGCCATTGCAGGGAGCACAATACATACTGCAGGATCACAACCACAAGCGGGCGATGTATCAGGTTCTCTTACGGCGCATTCCAGTAAACGAACCCTAACCCCAAAACCCTAAAACCCAAACCCTAAACCCCAACCCAAAATCCCAAACCCAAAACCCCATCAAACCCTTAGCCTCAGGTCTGCAAGTCCATGGGGATCTGTGCCAGCCTCCCCAAGCTCAAAGACACTCACTGCCGTGGTGCTGCTTTTGTGTTGTTGCTTTTGTAGTGGTTTGAGCTTGGGGTTTACAGGGTTTAGGGTTTAGGGAGCCTGGAACTCCAAGTCAATATACTACACCTACTTTTGCGCCCTACAGTCTGTGACAGTCTGTCACCAGCAAGTATCGATTTTGCAGCCTCAGGTTTCGTGTTCCTAGTTTAGGCGAACCATGCAGAGCAAGGACACCGCCGCCCCGGGCCCACACAGACGCCAGACTGGCACGCGGCCATTGGACTGAGCTCAGGGATGCCGGCTGCTTAGGTCTTCTAGATGTTCATAGGATGCAGGGTTAGGGGTTTAGGCTTTAGGGTTCAGTTTGGAGTGGGGGTTGTAAGGGGTTCAAGGGTCATGTAGGCCGAATAAGCTCGTAAGGGTTTAAGAGGGATCTTGTTGCATATTCAAAGCTTAAGTTCTCTTGCGTTGCTGACTCACAGTGGGCCCTTAGGCTTATAGGCTGGAGGCCCAGAGCGGTTCTTATCCCGCTCACACGGACCTTCGGATCCAGAAACCTGGCATTGGCGGAGCACTTGGAATGCATCGCCAAAGCTGCCATGGTACTAACTTTATAACTTTCAAAGACCGGGCCAAGCCGCTGCGGCGTGGCCTAATTAACATTTGCCAACCATGCGTGATTCTCCGTGCACAGTGGAAGTTTGACTTTTGAAACTGGCAAGCTTACAGCCAAGTGGTGGCTTTTGGGGTCTTCCCTAACGTTGTAAACAGGCACAGGCCAACCCCGCCCGGCTCCCAGAGATTGTATATCATCATATTGAATGCTTTCTATCATTCTAGGATCCTAAAATGATTCTGCGGCGCATTGTCAAAACGTTGTGGGCACCCTACAGATAAATTACGCTGGGGGGGGGGAGATACAGACCTATGTATATGCGTCAGTGTGGTGTGACTGCGTGAACCGCTCGGCCGCAAAGGGTCTAAAGGATCCAATAAGCGCTTCGTAGACTCAGGTATTAACATTAGGGGCATTGTTCGGTCGGGACCCCATATTGCATGCTTCAAGAAGGACCGGATACCTTCAGGAGTAGCATGGAATGCGATGCTGCCTGTAAGCGACACAAGCGCAGCGTAAGGGTAAGCCTTACCCAAAACCCAATTTCCAAGCCTGGAAATTCGGAGGCTTAAAGGAGGGTGCTTGCAGGCTGGATCCCCGTCCAGCAATGTAGCCATCTGTAACTTTGTAACTTAGTCAGTGCTGCTTCAGCACTGCAGGGATTCAAAAGATTGACCTTCAGCTACTCCTTCATGAGCCTTTTGGAGATAGGATGTATATGCCCTTGGTTAAGTAGTGAGGTCTGAGATCGTATTCTACATTTTCATGCTGCCATCTTCATGTGGATTTGTGATTGGGAGCACTGCGTGGCGGAGAGAATGCATGATGTTGTCGCACAAGCTGGCAGTTCCTTCGGCCGGCAACGGCGCGTTGATGGTCCAAATGCACTGCTTATGTCCGAAGCCTTCGAGTTTTGCCACTGACTTGGTAACCAAGTCTGCTATTCAAAACACGCAAAGGATACTAAAGCTATCCCGACGATGACGGCTACTCACGATGACTCCTATGATTGCCATTTGTACCATGAGTACTTTTTTGAGACAACTGCTGCTGCTACTGCCACCGCCACAACCACCACCACTTCCATGACAACTATGACGGTCATTCTGACTACGATGGCAGCTACGACTACACCGGGAAAGCTAATGACTACTGCAACGACAATCCCCGCCGCGACTACTACTGCTACGACAACTGCTGCGGCTACTACGACCACGGCACTCTCACGACTGTGACGACTAGGGCTGCTACTACTACTAGTAGTACCACTGCCACTGCCACTACCACTACCACTACCACTACCACTACCACTACCACTACCACTACCACTACCACTACCACTACCACTACCACTACTACTACTACTACTACTACTACTACTACTACTACTACTACTACTACTACTACTACTACTACTACTACTACTACTACTACTACTACTACTACTACTACTACTACTACTACTACTACTACTACTACTACTACTACTACTACTACTACTACTACTACTGCTACTACTGCTACTACTCTACTACTACTGCACTACTCCACTACTATTACTGCTACTGCTACTACTGCTACTGCTACTACTACTCTACTACTACTACTACTACTACTACTACTACTACTACTACTACTACTACTACTACTACTACTACTACTACTACTACTACTACTACTACTACTACTACTACTACTACTATATACTATACTATACTATACTGTACTATACTATACTGTACTATACTACTGCTACTGCTACTGCTACTGCTACTGCTACTGCTACTGCTACTGCTACTGCTACTGCTACTGCTACTCCTCCTCCTCCTCCTCCTCCTCCTCCTCCTCCTCCTCCTCCTCCTCCTCCTCCTCCTCCTACTACTACTACTACTACTACTACTACTACTACTACTACTACTACTACTACTACTACTACTACTACTTATTCTTCCTCTAGTTCTACTTCTACTTCTAGTTCTAGTTCTAGTTCTACTACTTCTACTACTACTTCGACTTCTACGACAACGCCGACGAGGAGGAGGACGAAGACTACTACTGCCACTACTGTTTCTTTTGCATTTGGTGTCTTTCAATACCGCCAAAGACCCGAAAGCCCCGGACCATGCCCCCTTTCGGGGGCTGCAGACTTTGGACCCTCAGGCGCCGCAAGCTTCCAGAAGCCGGTTGCATGCTTCGGTTTCAGAAAATCTGTGGACCAAAAAGAACGGCAACCTTATCCTGCTTGTCAGTGGCCTGGGGTTTGGGGTTGGGGGCTTGTAGG